TGTGATTTCTTAAATGATATCTGTTTACGTGAACGAACATCCCAAGTTTGAAATCTATTATGGCATCCATAGATAGTCCCAAGTCATGAGGGACGGCATGAAAAATGCGGGTCCATGACATACAAGTAATTACGAGATCTCGTTAGCCACTTCATTGTGGTGATATGTGTTTAATTGGTATCTGGAACCGGTTACTCTAGTCGGAAGACGTTCTGTGATATATTTGGAATGACTTTTTATTTTCTTACAGAAAGATATGTAAAAAGTAAAGAGAAAAGAGAATAGAGAATATTTGACTTTTTTATATAATTTGTTAGATTTTTGACTTTTTTTAATGACTTTTTAACTTTTAAGCTAAAATGCGATGTTGCCAAACGAGACCTCGAGTCTACCCAACAATTTATATATTAAATAAATAAATATATGTGCATTATAAAATTAATTATTAATAATTTTAGAAAAAATTAATCTAAAGTCCTTCTCTCATTTTTAATAATAGAAGAGATTTACAATATTATTTTTTGATATCTAAGGTCCTCAATCCCACGTACATCTATCACAGAGAAATTTGATATATCTGACGCTCTCTATCTCTCTCTCTCTCCCGCTGCTCTTCTCTCTCTCTCATCAATCTCAACGACAATCTCCTTCCTTCGCTAGATCTATCTCTCTCTTCCTTTTCTCTTATCTTCGGCTTCTCACCGCCGCCTCCGTCTCCATCATCGTCTCAAATCGCGATCGTCATCACTATCTTCACCATCGTCTCATCTTCTCTCTACTCCAGCTACTACCAACGTCCCTCATTACCATTGCTATTATCGCCGCAGCTCCGCCTCTATCGCCAACAAACAATTACTAGAGACATAATAGGCATAAATTCATCTCTTGTTTCTTGAACCCATTTCATTCCAAAAGTTGCTCAATATTTCAACAGTCCATATGTTTCATCTTCTTCCTTGTTGTTATCTCCCCCTAATCCTATTCTTGTGTATTGCAAAACTTCAAAAACTGAGATGATGCTTAACCAAAGTTAAGCCGAGATGATGTTTAACCGAAGTTAAAACGAAATGATGAAATTCTGAGAGTGCACAAAGTTAAATGTCGGCAAAAGATTTGCCGGAGTCAAACGTCGTTTTGATTAGAACCACTAAAGTGCACGCCAGAAGTGGTGACCAGAATTGTGAAAAGGAATAAATGCTTCAAGAAATAGCGATGATAGTTTGCAAAGGCCAAGAGAAAGAGGGTCTAAAGGGGGTGAATTAAATACCAGAAGTTTTAATACATTGGCGAAAGAAGAACACATCAGGTCTGTGACTACAGCACGAAGCCCACTTCTCTAATGTGATCCTAACGTTCACATTAGGGGGCAGGGAGAAGGTGTAGGGGGAAGGAATGATAATTAAGGAGCAAGGAATGTTAACACTTGTTGAAATTTTTGAGCAAAATTACAAAATGAGTTAACCAAATATTATGAAGTCTACCACTAGTTGAAATTTGTAGCAATTTACAAGTTTGGTATAGCCGAGATAAACACTGAAAGACGTTTCCGAGATATGATCAACCGGGATGACTAACTAGCTTGTTAAGAGCTGAGAAGGTTGGCAAGTACAAAAATGAAGACCTTAAAGAACTAGGGACTGAAAGCAAGAACGTCGGACTAATCTGCTTCGACGGACGACAATGGTTCAGCCTCGGCAGTCAGTTAGAGGAGCTTCTCTACCGCTACCTCGGCATCAATTTCAAGAAGGAAGCAAACTACTCGGCATCAGCGGTAGGTTATGTCTCACCCCCAGAAGACAGTTGGAAAGAACTTCTCAGCAGCCTTCTCAGCCACGAGCTCAGCATCGACCTCCTGAAGAGTTTGATCAAAGCTCTTCTTGGCGATTGGCACCTCGGAGTTTGAAGGCAAAGATTGAAAGCAAGAATCTGGAAAAAGACACAGAAAACAGAAACATGAATGTAATTCGTAATCAAGAATGATGATGAAGCTATCAAGAAATCAAGGCAAAAAGATTGCAAAAGTGTGTCAAGCCAAGAACAGTGGTAGAAATCAACAGATGTGTGAACAGTGTGTATTTAAGAAGATGATTTGGAAATAACGGGTAAAACAAGCAATGGTGATTAACAATGAAGCAGAGCTTTTTGGAAAGCAACAAGAAATAAAACTAGGAGGAACAGTGGCATACCAGAAAGAGGGAAGCCGGAATGAGAATTGCCGAAGTCTGACGACAATGACAGAATGACGTAAAGCTTCACCGGAGGAGAGAAACGAAGACAGTTGCAGAAGCTTGAAAGCTTGGAACAAATGGCAGATTCAAGCAAAAGAGCTAGAAAGCGAAGAAGCCAGAGGATTAAATGAAAAAAGAGAAAAACAGAAGTCAAGAAGATGACAAAGTTCAAAGAATAAAGCCAAGTGCACAGGCACTAAGTAAGTATGTGAAGAACAAGAAAGTAATGAACCAGACATGATGCTCGCAACAGAAAGCGGATATGACAAAGAACAGTTCCAGGCATTTTAGCAAATAAGAAATCAAAAACTTGAAGACATATGAGAATAGAAGGCCACAGATGGCAAATAAACAGATTCAAAGTAAATCAGAAGAGTTATGAAAGATTGAGCTTAATAAAAAAGTAAGAGTTTATGAACCTACAAAAGTGAAATGAACGCCGATATGAAAATCGCCGGAGTCAAATATGTGACTGGAAATCGGGAACTCACCAGAGAGTGTGAGTGGAGCAGTTGCAAAACTCTTGGAGTTTACGAATTAATGGAACCAGAATCTTGGCTAGGAGGTACGATTTCAAGAAGCTTGGAAAGCATGAAACTTGACTCTTGACACCAGTGGACAGTAAAGTCCAGGGAACTTTGAGGTCGGCGAGTTTGATCTCGGACAGAAAGGCACAGGTGAACGAACAGTGTAGGTTCCATCAACTCAGAATGTCGAGGTAATAGAACCTAGGGGGCAGTTGTGGGGATATATTTTCTGAATACCAACACGTGGCAAGGTGACGCCGACATGTCAGCCGAGGTGCCACGTGTCCTGGTCGTGATGCCGAGGTGATCTCGGCAAGGCCGAGGTTATCTCCGAAGATATTGGAAACCGAGATAAGCGGATAAGGGACAAGAGTCCTAGAATGAAGAGGGAACTCAACTTGGATATGGACAAGAGTCTTAGATTGGGAGAAGACTTCAGTTTGGGTAAAGATAAGACTCTTAGAGAGTTTATCCTAATCCCACTGGGAGTCCCAGATTAGCAGTAATCCTAAGTCCATTAGGGCCAGGCTCCTTTTGGGACTAGGATTGTATTGGCTATAAAAGAGAGGCACCCCCATGGGTCTAAGGTATGCTTTTGATACTCAAGCTTGTGAGTTTAGTACTTGATTTATCTTTGAGAGATATACTGACTTGATCGTCGGAGTGCCCCCGGGTGCTCGAAACCACCGCGGGATTCTTATATTTTTGTTGCAGGTCCATCATGTGCCATCTATTCTGCCAGTGCTCTCCAACTGGTTACTAAACGGGCAGTGTGGTCGGAAAATCACCCACAGAAGTTTCCTAGTTTTCGAGCTCTTCGAAGATGTCAATGGCATCGCAAGAGCATCTGGACAAGATGCAGCTTCGCCAGAACTACCGTAACCTCTGGCACATCGATCTCATGGGCACCATTCAGGCCGACACTTCATGTACTCTCTCTCTCTCCCTCTCTCTCTCTCTCTCTCTTCTGTACTCTAATATGGTTTTGATTTTGGTTTGTTTTCTTTGATGCAGATTGTTGCCTTGCGTTTTGGTGGTGAGTACTCTGATGATCCATTTCTTAGAGCTGTTTTTTTGTTTTCAATTTCTCTGGTTTTGTCAGAGATCTGTAATTGCTTGTGGACTTACTGTTACTATGGTTGACTTGATCTGTGCTTTGAAAATTGAATCTTGCTCTGTTTCTTATTATGTATTTCTTTTGATGGAATTGATGGAATTAAGCTAAAGTAGTCTTTTTTTTCTTGGTTCTTTTTCTTTTTTCCCTTCTGATTTTTGGGTTTTTACATACTTCCTTGTCTATACTTGGATAAAAATTGTATTGTTGAATTTTATTTTGTAGTGAAATACCCATTGATGAATAACTTCGATATTTTGATTGAAATAATTTGGGAAGTGTCCAATGGTTTTTTAATCTTTTAAGATGGAAGCTGGGCTAGTGCTACTGAATTATCTAGTGACATGAAACTGATATATATTGAATAAAACTAAGGAAAATCATTGGCATTTACTTCTTCTTTAGATATGATTTAGGTTTTCTACCTTTTTAGATATGATTTATTAACCCCACCTATTATGGTACCAGAATTTCTATCTTAAAATTTATGTCTCATGTTACAATGGACTTTGAGGCTTTGTTTGACATCTCTTATAAGTCCGTTTTATTAATAAATAAATAAAAAGGCTTTAGGTTATATGGCACACCCAATTCTCGCCAAAAAACTAATTTTAGCCAGTTATAAAAGCATTTGGAGAAATAAAAAAAAAATTAAGAATTTGCCAAATAAACTAACTTTTTTAGCATTAACTTTTTTATTGGCATATTTTAAGTTAATAAAGTGATTTAAAAAATGAGTGCCAAAGAAAGCCTTAATTATATAAATGCATTTGAAATTCTCATATTCTGAAATGCTCATTACATTATGCAATTGAGTGAATGTATTAAAGACAATAAATAAGAATTTTGAGACAAAAAATCTGTCACCATGTATATAACTGGCCATAACTCTAAATTACATTAAATGCCAAAATTCCCATATTATCTATCAAAACAGAACATGCATAAGTAGTTCAGGACTTCAAACACAAACTACCTTCATTGTGGTTTCTTGATCATCAGGAATGCAATAGTTACTCTCTTTTGACCAAGACCAAACCAGCTATAATTTGGTGTGTTTGCTCCATCTCCTGGTAAGTTTTACCTGGTCTTTTGTGTTGTTAGGTTAGGATTCCCCTTTCATCATGCATGTTCAATATTGTAACCCTTTGAAATTCGAAATAACTTAAAAGTATATTAGAGTTATGGCTGGTGATTCATACTGATGTCGTCCACTGGCAACTCGTTGATGAACTAATTTAGTGTGATATATTTCCCTGCAATGCGTTGTAGCTACAGCAATCAATCATAGCCATGCATGAAAGTAGAATAACATAGACATAGAAATTGATTACTCGTGAAAGTAGAATAGCATAGTCATAGAATTTCTCAAACCTCTTATCTTATTTTATTCCTTGATTTTATTCCTTGAATTTCTCAAACCTCTTATAAATTATTTGCCTTCGGATGAAAACCCAAGAGACCAGAAAAAAGTAGTTTTGGTGAATCAATTGGCTTGCAGTTGGTGAATGTGGGATATGAAGTTTGTGCAGATGGCCCCACACAAGTGTTGCGGTTTTTAATAAGTTACCAGTCCTTTCTAGTAATATTAACTTTTATAAAGATGCCTTGGCTTGTGACATCCTCTTGAATCACAATTGTGAAAATCTCTTCTGTAAATACTATTGATCTTCTTGGTGTGATGCAGAGTTCTTGATATTATGCGGAGAGATGCAGAAAAAGATCCTGTAACTGATTCGAATGCATCGCGTGCTAGGCTTTTAATTAATCAGGTTCGATTGCTTCTCATGTTCATTTAATTCTTATGGTGTTTAATGCATGTATAAGATATCGTACTGAAAATAGATGCATTGAACTTGTCAAAGCCACAATAATTCTCTACCACTCTTTATTGATCTGTCCCTTTGTTGTATGATCTGTGATACGTTCCTGTGATTATCTGGTATACAAAATGATCTGAGCCATTGCTGCTAAAGTGTTATCTGTTATTGTGGTCTGGTATACAAGGCACAAGACTGCTGTTGTGGATAAGGCTGTTGTTTCTGCTATGAAATGCTCCAGTGTGTTCTGGTATACAAGGAAGAAGACTTCTAAGGATAAAAGGCTGCTGGGTGTTGTGTTCTACTGCTATGGTTGTTTGATTTGCTGTGTATTTCTAAGGTTATTTGATAAGGCTGCTGCCTAAAGGAAAAGTTGGTGCATTATGTATTATCTTAGAGATACCATACCCATAAAGATTGTCACAACTCCATGATGTTTGGTGTTGTGGGGCAGTTGCTCAGTGGTAATTTTGGATTGAGTAGGGCTACTGTTGCTCCTGATGCTGGTTTTTTGGGCTAATCTTGAAGTGCAGTTGCTGTGGTTGGTCTGAGGCTGGTGATTTGTGGGGTAGTTTTTGGTCAGTTTATTGCTGTTTGATCTGTTTTGAGCTGTCAACTAGTTTGGTCTGTTTATTTCCACCACCAGGATTTACACATTTGGCGACCACTTTTGCCGACCAAAAAAATTTTGGTCGCAAAAAAATGACATTTGGCGACCAAATATTAATTAGTCGCGAATGATCATTATTTTTGGCGACCAAATATTATTGGTCGCAGAATGTTTTATTTTGGCGACCAAAAAATAAGTTGGTCGCAAAAAGTGGTATGCTTTTGCCGACCAACTATAAATTTGGTCGCGAAAGGTCACATTTTTTTTGGCGACCAAAATTTTGGTCGCCAAAAACTTATTTTCAGCAACCAAAAAAAATTAGTCGCCAAATTAGCACTTTTAGCGACTAATATTTTAGTCGCCGTTGATTGAGATTTGGCAACTAAAAAAATTTGTCGGCAAAGGGTACATCTTCTGCGACTAATCTGGTATTTTGGTCGCCAAAAATTTAGGAGGGAATTTTGAAACGTGGGGCAGGAATTGAAATTTTTGCACTAGGAAAATAGAAAAAAAAAATTAAAAAAAAGCCCTGTCCATCTCGCAAGCTCCATCGTAGGTGTAAAAACTCCAGTCTATCTCTCGCAAGCTTCTCTCTCGCAAGCTCCATCGTAGGTCTTCGCTCTGTCCATCTTGAGCTCCATTGCAGATCAGTTAAGATCTACATGCTTCAGTAGATATATATCTCAGACTTCTTTGCTTCACCAACACTCCAGTCTATCTCTCTCTCTCTCTCTATATCTATATCTATATCTATATGTAGAGAGAGAAAACGCATAGTAGAGAGAGTAAGCAAAGGTACAGATCTAGATCTGTGGCGTATGTGAAGAAGATGAACTCCATTGTAATGGCATCAAAGATCTTACTGATTGCGGTCTTCGTCTTCGATGTCATTGCCTTTGCGTTGGCTGTTGCTGCTGAGCAGAGGCGAAGCACTGTAAGCTCTGTTCCAATGGAGTTGATGTTGTGAATTGAATTTTAATTGAAGCTCTGTTCCAATGGAGTCAACTTTATCTGTAACAACAACAACACTCTTCATTTGTCGTCTACACCGTCCGATTCATTGCCAATCCGTGTCTCTTCAACTCACACGACCTTTCAATGGCGAGTCTCAGAGATCAAACGCATTGAATTCAATCTCTCATTCCCCAAATTCGCTCACGACTTTGTGTTCTGTTTGCTCTCGCTTGCACTGTACTGCTTCGCTCCCTTCCGCAGCCGGCGGTGACACGGTGATTTTGATTTGTCTCTTTTCTCCCTCTTTGTCTCTTTTCTCCGCGAGATTTTGATTTGTTCTTTATAATACTCGTTCAAAGGTTCCGATCACTATTGAAACTCATAATCTGTAATTGGTCTCTTTTGTTTTGATCGATCAATTGGTATTTTTGGGTTTAGATCCTTTGTTGCAGATCGTTCTTGTTTCAATTCCAATTTTGGGAATCTGATTTGGGTTTTACTGAATTTTTTGTTGGATGATTGTTTAAAGAATTTTAATAAATTATTCGATGAATTATCCCATTTATGATGTAAATATTTGGTTGTGGACAATTTGCTTAATCGTCAGAGGAAGGTATCCCCTTTTATCAATATTGAAATTGGGAAGCTTTTTAGAATGTTTTGGGTTGATTATAATAAGTTTGATTTCCCAAAAAGATTTGCTCTAAAATTTTAGGTTTTGAATTACCTCAAGAAGGTTGAGATCTGATTACTGGATTGATGGCTTGTTTGCATTACCTATGTAGAGGTTTTGCTTCAAATTTCATTTTATGACTTGATGGGCGGTGACACGGTTGGCCCTATTTAATGCTTCTTATTTTGATAAATGTTTCTCATATTTTACAGGTGAAGGAATAGGGAGGTCTGTTTGCATTGTTGTATTCAGAAGGCATTTGGATTTTGTTTCTAGAAGAGAAAGGGGACTGACTCGGGGAGTCAGTGTAACTTCACGGGCTTAGTGTCCTCTCTCATCATCCTTCTTTATCTTGTTATTATTTCCACAAGGGTTATTTTCTTGATGTAAATGCTTAGCAGAGTTGGGTTTTGTTGATGAGCTTAGAACACTAGGTGGAGGGTTTTATTCTATTAAGATAGGTTGACACTGGTGATTTGGGTGGAGGATGTGTAGCGAGCGTGAAGAGGATTTTGGAAAACCAAGTTAGTAGGATGTATATATATATATATTGTCATCCTTCTTGTTCTTTATATTTTCTAATTTCTCTATTTGGTTGCCTACAAAATGTTCCCTCTATTTATATAAAGGGGAAATTAGTGTTCAGTGTAAATTTAGAAAAAATAATTTACATATTAATGGAGGGTTTTCTTATGATCTCATAGCAACAAATGAGGACGATTCTGTGAAATTACAATCATTGACAGAGTGCATACATGAGCGGGCCAAACATCCTCCTCTGAAGAAGTTTCTTCTAGTTCCAAGTGATTTTGTCAGTGCTGTTGGGCAGCTCAACTTGCAAATCTGCATATAGAGGTATCATGTTTTTCCTCACATCTAAGGAGGTCATTGTGTCGTTTTAAGGTTATTGTAGATGTTGTGAACTTATAGTTCATTTCCCCTGGGAACTGACTTGGGTAATTGGGGTTTTTGTTTGTTTTTAAGTTAAACTTGCTTATTTTATTTGTAACAGAAACCTTTTTATGCTGTAATTGTCAATTTTTATCTTTGCTTGATTGGTCGTGTGTCTCTTGGTGGCTGATAGTTTTTATTTTTGTTGGTATTTTTTGTTTCTTATTTTTCTAAGTGAAAGTAATTGGTGCACAAATAAATTGCAGGAAATGTAAATGAGCCCTAGGAAAATTAGCACTGGAAATGATATGTGTGTGGGCTCACTGATTCTATTGATATGATTTGGTCTGTGTTGTCAGTTTTGGTATTGATAAATTTATTGTTGCACAGGCTACTGATAAATTTATTGTTGCTCAGCTGAGAGAAAATTAGCCTGTGATCTCGGTGTTTTTGTATGTGTTGTCAGTTTTGGTATTCTATTATCTGCACTACTATTTGTCCCTTGGACTATATTTGTCCCTTCAAGTTTTCATTGAGGAAACCTACTTTGGATTTCTGGGTGAACTGTGTCAGATTCGTAATTATTGTGGTTATATGCAATGCTGCTGCTTATATGCAATACTGCTGCCATGGAGGTACATATATTATGACATGTTGAACCAAGCTATTTTTAGTAACATGTAACGTGAAGTACTTGATGTTTTTAGATGTTCTTTTCCTCAGGCACTTCCCATATTTCTGTATAGTCTAATCACAGCTTGGGGTGCCATCCTGATTTCAGTTACATTGATACTTCTATTCGGAGAGGTGAGGGATTTATCTTAGGCAACATTTCTTTAGAAGAGAGCTATAAAATTTGGAGCAGGTGGACAGCTGCTTGAATTTGCAGTGCAATTTATGGTTTATTAGGGTATTCGTGCCCGATTTTACCCACTTAAAACTGATTTCTTATCCCTGTAATTTGCGACATGGGCAATTGAGGTGGGAATGTGTCTGCCCATTAGAAAAAGTGCTTATTAGAAAACTTGAGTTATGTTCTTGTAGCATGGATACATTTTCTGAAGAAGTGCTTTTAGAAAACTCAAATTTATTTTTCGCATCATGATGTTTCAATTTTCCTGGTTAAATCAGCATGGTGAATTTGCATGCGCTAATTACTACTAGTCTGTATGAACAGATTATACAACAATCTGTTTGTTCTAGATATGGGTTGGCTATTGGTGCAGTTGTAGCCCCATTTGTCTGCGTTCTTGTTTTGATTTGTTTTCCTGTAGCATATCCAATAAGCAAGGTACTTGTGTTTGGTCGGCACTATTGCATTGCATTAGTTAAGCAAATTCATTGGTTGGTCTTTCTAATTAGTCTTCTTGGCTACCCTTATTCTCTGTGATTTTCAGCTATTATATTTTCTGCAAGGACATGTACATGTAGCACTTTTCCGTAGAGCTGAGTTGAAAACACTGGTTGATTTGCATGGTAATGTGGTAAGTAGCTACATTTCTGAAAGTGTTATGAACTAACGACATTTTTTTATTTATTTAGGATGCAATTTGGTCCATCCCCCTCCCATGTCCCTACTGCCTACCCACCCACCCACCTACCTACACCCAAAAGAAAAAAAGGACAATAATGTTTTTCCATCCTGTTATTGTTATTGCTGTTAGTTTTTTTCTCTATCAAGGCACGAAAAGGACAAATCACAGCTCATTCATATGACAAACAGTCTATAATTTTTGTCATAATAACAGGAAAAGTTCAATTGGATACAGGTATGTAGGGACACGACACTTGATGCCAGTCCAGCATAGTTGGGAATTCAATTTCCCCGGTTCATGCTTATTATTTTAGTACACATCTTTTTTCAAGGCAGTATCATTAGAAATTGGTTTAAGACATACTATAGGATGGCAGTGAATCACAAAATGGCTTTGTGTAGTGAATTCCTTGTAGTTGAATAAGGCTTTGTTGAATGAGCATGCTCAGTTTTTGTCTATTGTCCCCCCCCCCAGAATTTTTCTTTATTCACTCTTTAAGACCGTATTATATAATTTTTCCATGTTAAAAATAGACCATGTTGGGGCCTTATTTTCATCTTCTTGATTGTTTCTCCTACTAAACAACTGTCAATTTCCTTAGGGTATGTAGATTGTTGTTTAGCACTCTGTCTCGAAGACTTGAAGTCCCTCAGTGGCCTTACTATGCGAAATTTGAATCTCTATGTTCTTATAAGTTATAAGTACTCATCAAACATCTTTCTCTAGCTATATTTGTATTGTGTTTTCTCAATCATTGTTGTGTTCTCTTGATTCACAAAATTAATTCATTCTTTGTGTTTCATTAGTGATGACAATATTAAAAGTAGCTATCAATTTATGTGTTTCATTAGTGTTGCCAATTTAAAAAATATCTGTCAATTTCTGTATGTGTTTACTTTTTTCATGTAATGCAGTTATGTGAGGGAAACATTGGGACTTTGGAGGAATGGACCATGGAGATGATCAAGCTGCAGTGCTAAACCCTGGGAACAAACCATTAACACAGATTACTGAAGATGATTCATTTAGAGAATTTGAATTTAGACAGTATTTTTTTGCCAGCCAAGCAAAGGTGTGCAAGACAAAGAAGTAGGATTAACTTAGGTCGGTTTTAGATAATAACAGGAGAATTTATACATAATGGAAAATTATGTTTTTTTTTTTCATACCAGAAGTTATTGCATTATTTGTTTTCCTCAATCATGTTCAATTTATGGCATGTAAAATTTTTCGTAGCATTGAGTCTTTCATTTATCAGTAACACTTATATTATTCTTCTTGCATATTGGAAATTGGGATGCACTGCTTGAACTTGCTTTTTACTAAGTACATCATCTTTCCTAACATTTTTGGGCACCCTCGTGCTTCTACCCTTCTGATGGAAAATTGAGCCTTCAAAGGAAATTATAGTTCAAAATGCAATTAATAACAATCCCTTGAATTTTAGACTGAAACAAAGGAGTAAAATAGTTCATTCACCCTTTCAAAGTGAACTAGGATTTATGTCCAATTTGAAATGATCCAGTCCCTTTTGAATGGGCCATTTTTTGTTTGATATCTATCCAATTTCTTAATATAGGTTATAAATTGGACTAAATTGACCCAATGTAATAAATTAATGGATGAAATTGGTAAAATTGAAGCTACATGACTATATTGAAACTAGAGATATATCACAGGTATAATCTGTTTCAGGCTTTTCATGATGTTGCCACATCATTTTGACATGATTAGTAGTTTGATTCTCTTTGTTTTTAGCGATTACCAACTATTGAAAACTACACCAAATCCCAACTATAGAATTTAAGCTCCAAATCTATTTGTTAAAACCAAATAAAATCAAAAAAAGAGAAGCATGTTACTCTATCAACCTTTTTAGAGCTTTTCAGAGAATAAAAGATTATTTTACTGAACCGAAAGACTTTCAAAAAATAAATCGAGTTTGAAAGTTTATATTATGGCAAGACGACAAGCAAAGAAGCCTATATAAGCACAAGTTATTTTACTGTACTGCGTCATATTAAATATGGGTGTGTGTACATATACATATATATGTTATATGTGGTACAAATGCTTTAAATTATTGAGAAGTATCTGCAGTTTACTTTCAATCTAATGACCAAACATATCATGAGCCTGGATCCTGGAAAGCAAGAGACAGAAGAGCTGAAGAAAGAGTACATTACTTTCATGAAAGGAGTTGTATCTCCTCCTTTGAACTTGCCTGGAACACCATACAGAAAAGCCTTGAAGGTAACTCATGATACGAGATTTGATCCGTTAGATCTTAATGTCCTTAAAATTTTTGTCACTCTATTTTAAGTATATTCTCAATCACACAATATAGCGAAAATCTTGAAATAGAAAGACGATCATATAATTGAGAGTACATTTGAGATAGAGATTTCGACACAAAATATCTCTTGTCGAGATTTAACTACTTGAGTACTATTTGATTGAGAAACATAAAAGGAGGAAATAGGTGGTGGTTAGATAGAAAATCCTGTGGGTATTACATGTTTTTTGTCTACTTTTGTTCTACGTTTGGCTACTCCGAATAGGTGGTGGTTAGATAGAAAATCCTGTGGCCCGCTCAATCTGCATCTGCCAAACTGATCGCATCCATCCGTCAATCCGCACGGCCCCGTTCAATCTGCATCCACCAAACTGATGGACGGATGCGGATTAATTTTTTCAATCCGCCTAATTGTAGACAGATGGTAGATAGGATACAACCTAACCCAACCCAATCCACAACCACCCCTACTTTTATCTAATTTAGACAATAAAACAGGGGCCAAATGAAAATATAAAGTTAGGCATATTCATCCTATATAAGAGTTGATTACATTTTGTTACACTCAATTATCATTAAACATCATTTTACTCACTTCTAATTTTTAAACCATATAAAATTTGATTTTCTTCAATCCTTCCAGATATACTCGTACGGTTTTTATAGTAAAAGAGTTTAAATATATGATATTTTGACAAGTAAAGTAATATTCAATAATAGTTGACAGGTAAATTAATACACGTAAAGTGATCAATTCTTCCAGATTTATATTCTTTTTTTTCTTTCTTTTTTTTATTTTTTTTGATTAACAGTCTCGATCAACAATCCTTAAATTCATAGAGGAAAAAATGGAAGAGAGGATGGAGAAGATGGGAGAAAAAACAGAGAATTTGGAGGATGATGATCTTTTGGGATGGGCATTGAAGCATTCAAACCTCTCAAAGGAGCAAAGTTTGGACTTGGTACTGAGCTTGCTGTTTGCAGGCCATGAGACTTCTTCTGTTTCCATAGCTTTAGCCATATATTTCTTGCAAGACTCTCCCAATGTTGTTCAGCAGTTGACCGTAAGTAAACCATATATACACCACTAAAGCTTTCTCAATCTCTATGAAAAATATACTATACATAAACTACTTTTTATCATATTTTCTAATAACTTATTGGTTAGACACAAAAGACTTGTGTAAGTAGGTGAGTTTGGGCATCGTTTATTTTTTAATTTTTTATAAAAAGACGTATAAAAAAATAGAAAGATTATGTCATAAAAATAATCAATAAACCAATACATTACTGATTTTAGTTTTTTATCAGCTCCAAATCTCTAAAAAGGTTGATCAGATTTTCCTTGAGCTACATTGCCCTGAATTACAACAGCCCAACAGTCAGACCAAACACAATGCCTTGACCTGTAGCAGCCCTTCATCCAAACCAATCCCCAAGTTTGTTAAAACCAACACAGCAACATAACAGATCAAAACAGATAAGACATCAGAGCATCCCTTCAAGCACCAAAACAGAACAGGCAAGTCAGATTTGCCTTGAGCTACAAAACCCTGAAATACCACAGCCCAACAGTCATACTAGTGTCATGTTTTGGGCCTATAATCTATTACCAGTTACTTGAGAAGGTGAGCCACCAGATTAGGTGTAAGATGTTATTAAGATGTTATCATTACGCATTTAATTCAATTAGGCACCAACCATAATTGTGACAACTGATTGGAAGAGAATAGCTCTAAATTGAGCCTGGAGCAACTATAGCATGCATGGAGGGTTGTTAGAGGAAATAAATTCCCACATGAACTACCTGGATAAGTTGCATTGACAAGAGAGGAAGAGAGAGAGACATGATATTATCATAATAACTAAAAGAAATAATTACTCTTCTGCTATCTTTGAAGGTATAATACTCTTATTTGGCCTGTATGTTCTTCCTTAGTGGTTAATTATCTTAGGGCTCAAACATTTTCTTAAACTAAAACATGTTGGCTGTGTTTCTGTCCATATTGATCGGTTGAACTAGAAACTCGTTACAAAGACCTAGAAGGGATCAGGTGAATAGGTAGAAACTGATGAAAATGAATTGTTAACATGAATGATGTCGACTTTCCCAGTCAGTATTAAGTGTATGCTTAAGTAAGAGGATATGCTTGGAAACACAGTTAGTATTAGTTTGGTAGCAGTTCCATAGAGTGACAGCTGATTTGTGAAAAAAGAAAATTTTGTTGGACAACAGACAAAACAATGAATTTATTTGGCATTTCCATTTCTGCATTGCTGGACATGATTTTTCTTATTTGGGGGTTTTCATCTTGCAGATTTCTAGATCAATTGGTGATGTTTATCTAAAGAAGGCTGAATTCAACAGGGAGCCTTTGTATGCTAAGTTTCGCCTCCGTGAACCTTTTAGAAGGCCAATATTAAGCGCTGAACCATCAATTTGTGTGCATGAACTCCAACCAGATGATCGATTTCTCATATTTGCTACTAATGGATTATGGGAGCACCTTAGCAATCAGGAAGCAGTAGACATAGTACAAAATCACCCTTGCAATGAAAGTTTATCTTTGGCTCTACATGTTAGTGAGTATTTTATTTGGCAGTGGATGAGTTCTTAATTCTTGGATGCTACATAATACGATATCGAACTGTTTAGTTCTTCATTATCATCACCAGTACTGATCTTGTGGCCTATATTCTTTTTTAACATACCTAGAACCATTGCTTTCGTTATTGCTAAAAAAAATTCTGATGTGTATTGGATGTTAGGTATGTATTTTTTCCCGTTCTTACTATTCCTCTGTTTTTCAATTTATTATATTAATGATGTAGTTAATATTGGAATTTCTGCTTGATTTTCTGATACAGCCTTCCTAAATTTTTCATGGTCAATAACTGGGATGGCACCATTTTTATTAAAATCATGATCTGAATAACATCCAAATCAGCATAAAATCAGTATTATAGCAAAATTGCAAGTAGGATAGTGTAGGATCTTGTAGAATCATTGAGCCAGTGATTTTTTTTTCCCTTTATTATTTTAATATACATCATGTTTAACGGTCTCTCTCTCTCTCTCTCTCTCACACACACACACACAATATTTGATCTGATCCACGAGACCCTGAACTTATCAATCTGTCATAGGATCCTGATTTTAGCAACCATATGTGTTTACAAAAGCATGCATGATTCACTAGTGGTTCTGTTGCACTTGGTTGTATTGGACCGACATAAAATTAGCAGTAAGCAATTGCTTCTTCCAACTTTTTTGTTAGCCAGTTACTGATTTATTGACATATGAAAATAGCATTAAGCAATTGCTGCTGCACTTTTTTTTTTGTCTTCTGCTATGAATGCATTGGTTGTCACTAGCAGTTCTTTCCCTTATATTATGTTATGGTGCTTATATGGATAAGAAAGAACCATGTGAACCAGATGGGTGTTGATGAAAAATATGAAAGGAAAAAGAATGACATTTTCCTTCATGCAGGGAAGTGCTCGAAGGCTGGTGAAAGCAGCGCTGCAGGAGGCGGCAAAGAAAAGAGAAATGAGGTATTCCGATTTGAAGAAGATTGAACGTGGGATCCGGCGGCATTTCCACGATGACATTACTGTCATAGTTGTATTTCTTGATTTGAATCTTGTGAGCAGAGCCAGCTCTGTCAAAGGCCCCACCTTGTCGTTGAGAGGGGGCGGTCTAAATCTATCTGCAAAAACTTTAGCTCCTTGTGCTCCCAGTACGGAACTTGGTACAACTTAATGAAGTCGGTTGTGTATCGTTCTTTTGAACGTCTTGTGAGATTCGTGTTTGATGGTAGATTTCAGGAGGGGACAAGAGAGAAGGTTCTTGCTAGAACTAATTCTTCAATGTACAATGTAACATTTAACTTGAGACAGGTACTTTTATTGAGTTTCTGAGAATTTGAGGAAAAGAAAAATGTAAGAATCAGGTAAAGAGAACTTTTCTACTTACTGATTTTCCGAACATTTTTCGTTGTTCTGTTTCTTTCCTTGAGCTTTTTGTGGTTATGTAAATTATACGAAATTACAACCCTGGAAATCAAAATCTCTCTTCTTGTGGCATTAGCTCTGAACTGTTTGGGATAGACATTGGCTCATCATTCTCTACTGCAACTATGAATAATAATAATAAATACAGAAGTGGAAGCATTTTGGGTATCAGAAAAAATAGAATTCTGTTTCTTTATTAGGTGCCTTACATCACTACTGCTTTGATGGATGCGAAGCTTGGCACGGAAGGCCGCAAGGATCTTTTTGATTGTCTATCAAGGAAACTTAGTGGATTAAGCAATTTTCCTGATGTTGTAAATCTGAATTATGTATTGTTTCAAATTGTTATGCGAGATGGATGTGACTTGTGAATGAAAACTTAGAATAGTAATATTGTGTCGAATGTTAATGATTCAGTTAATTTGAATGATGTTTTAAAATTATAGGTTTATTATGGATTGAATGAATTATTAGGAATTACAGGTGTATTGTTTTCCTGCTTTGGCGACTAATTTATTAGTCGCGACAAATAAATAATTTTTTTTTCGCAAAAAATGGCAATTGCCGACCAAGAGTTTTGGTCGCAAAAAATACATCTATTGCCGACCAAAACAAATTTGGTCGTGAAATCTCACTTTTGCCGACCAAAAGTTTTGGTCGCGAAAAGAAACAAATGGCGACAAAAATTTTTGGTCGCGAAAAGTGATAATTGGCGACCAAAAAATTTGGTCGCGAAATGTGATAATTGGCGACCAAACTTTTTGGTCGCGAAATGTGACAATTGGTGACTGAGAAATTTGGTCGGGAAAATATCACTTTTCACGACCAAAGTGTTTTAGCGACAAAATAAATTAGTCGCGGTAATTAAATATTTAGCGACCAAAAATTTAGTCGGCAAATCCAACTTTTGCCGACCAACTAAAATTTTGGTCGCGAATTACTTTTGCCGACCCTCAATTGGCGACCAAAGTAACGACCAAAAAAATTGGTCGCGGATAACTTTTGGCGACCAAAAATTGACTTTTAGCGACCAATTTTTTTGTTGCCAAAAGTGTTAATTCTTGTAGTGTTCACTATTTGGTCTGTATTAGGTTTGGTTAGCTTTTTCTTGGGTGAGGTTGTTTTTGGTGTTTGTGGTTAGTACTTTTGGTTGTTTATTGCTGTTTGCAGGTACATTGCTAAGACATTGTAAGTGATGATGATGATGATGAAGATGTTACTCCTGAAAATAACGGCACCGTGGAGTAGCCAAAACTTTTAGGTCTTCATCCCGGATTAAATGAGAAGATTTTCCTTGTTTTGATTTGACATTAATTACGTGAAAATGAATCTTTATCATCTTCAGAAGCTTATTACTTTTTTTAATGTATGTAATGGAATTCTTTTTATCTTTCAGATTCTCTTGAAGAATGGTCCTTATGGGTTCCAGCTTGGTGAGGACAGGAAGGGATACTTGCCTAAAAGAGCTTCTGTTTCCCAAGTACGTATGCCTCATTTGTATTTATAATGTGACTATTAAATTTTGGGGCTTTAATTCCTGGTCTAGTGCCATTAACTGCATATATGTAAATGTTTAAGTTAAGCATCTATGCATCGTTTTGTTCTCGAGTAAATTAGGGATGAATACTTAGCCACTACTGATCATTAAGTAAGCCCTTGTGATTTTAATCTGTGGGTCAGATGCAAAGAGTTGGGTCATGCCGATTTGGTTTATTTGGTTATTCAAATCAAGCCTGCAAAATTCAAGAATTCCATGCATATGCGGAGTGGATTGATATCAATAAATCTAAACATAAATTTATGTGTAATGTTAACATTAATTTTTCTCATATTTTATTATATTAACAATATGTGCATGGACTTGTTAACAAAATAAACATTTAAATGGGACAAAGTGCACTTTTCTTTATTTTTATTTTATATTTTATATTTTAAATAAAGCAAAAAAAAGATAGATTATAAAACATTAGGGGCATGTATAAAATTTCAAAGGGGCCAACTTGAAGAACTCTTTTACAGGTATATGTTGATTTGTAATTTTAAGAGAGTTGAGGTGGGCGCTGCCCTCTTTGGGCAAATGGGTCACATGAAAATTTTGAGGTCTGCCACGGGTCACATGAAAATATTTCTTCTGTTGATGATACCCATTTCCAGAGTGTTTTCTCTTCTTTTTGTTGTTAGTATTGTAGATGCAGACTGCAGTAGTCGTTGTTTTTCTTATTATTATCTGAATCCAGCAGTATGTCATTTTTATTGTGGTTAATGAATAATTTTTGTTTGTCGATATATAGCCTCTGTTCCTCATGTTTCATCAGTATTGAATAATTAAAAGTAGAATACAAAAAGTGCAGTTCATTAGCTCCCTATAGAATATGCATGCTGATGACGCTAGTCACATCATCCTCCCAGAATATCCCTACTACTTCTGTAGTTTATTTCAGAAATCCTATTAATCTTTAAAGCAATATTTTTTCTTGTACTTGACCTTGCAGGTTGTTTTTTCCACTACTTCCATCCATGTTCTTTAAGATTAAGACTTCTAGGTTTTTTGGAAGGTTCTCTTGAAACTTGTGGAAGGTTCAATATTTGGAAGGTCCTCAATTCAAAGGAATACTTGAAAATTTTGAGGCAACAATTACACTTAGGCCATGTTTGTTTGGGTGGACATGAGCTTGGGATTGGACTAATAGTCCAATAAAATTATTAATCCGATGTTTGGTTAAACAATTGAAGTACGGATTAATTATTTTAAACTTGACTATTAGTTAAGCTAGGATACATAATCCAACAGATTCGTAGTCTTAGGACTATTAGTCATGGGAATGCTAATTCAGTCCGTCCAAACAAACATGGCCTTAGTGATTTGATAACATAACTTGTGGCTTGGAATTCTTTTAACCCTCATATACCTTTGTTATCTTTTAACCCTCATTAAGTATTCCTTGTTTAGAAGTTTCCATTTTACCATGTGTTTGTGGTGTCATGAGTTTTAATTTATTTAATGATCCTTTGTTTCATCTTATCTGATTAATGATTTATCTTCTTTATCATCCTATCTAATGTGTTTTTTTTTTTCCTTCTATAATGGTTCATTATTTTGTGGTGTTGTGAGTGTCATTTTACCATGTTATTGTCTTTTCTAGTTGTAATTTCATTACATTGGTTGTTCTTATCTATTTCAATTAGGTGACTGGTTGGGTGGTTGAATACCAAGATAATCTGGTAAGCCTTGGTGTTGATGAGACCTTAGCTCAAGTTTGTTCCGAGAGTGGTGCAATGGATTCCCTTATGAATGCATATGTTGAAAGAATGAAAGCTACAACAAGGGTAATCATAATTTTTCTGATAGCTTTATTGGTTTGTTACTTGGTTTTTAACATTGCTCAGATCACGTCTTTCCTGTGCCATTTGCTGTCACTATTTTCTAGAAATGGTACTTGAATATCCCTGAGGCTGATAAAGTACAACTACCAAAGAAAACAAATGATGGAAAGCTATATACACCTGCTGCTCGTGAAAATAGCATTGATGTCATGCTGTACAGAATTGCTTTGTCCATTATTCAGGTAAGTTCAGCTTTAAAAGTTTTACTTAAATTATATACCTTATTCAATTCTTGACATTCTTTTTCTTTTTCTTTGGTACAGATGGATGAACTCGTGCACGAAGCTAAATTGTACATGACTGATTGGTGCTATAAGAATTTTTGGAAGTATTATATATTTTTGAATAGATGTGTATGGAAAGTATTTCGGTAGACTAGTAGTTATATTTTTGGATAGACTAGTAGTTATATTTTTGAATGGGTGTATATGGAAAATATTTGGGTAGACTAGTTATATTTTTTGATAGATGCGCATGGATAAAAATTTAAATTGGAGGAATATGTACTTTGGAATTACTCGTGGATGGAAACTTATAATAGTTGTTGACTTTTATTAAACAGGTTCAGGATTTGATGATTTATGTATTTCGTTGAATGGTCATGATTCAGATACTTTGTTGGTATGAATAATTTTTTTTAATTACAAATTATATTGAATGGATTGGATGGAATATTTGTCTTCAATTACAGGTTTATTTTGTTAGATGTTGGCGACCAAATTGTGGTTTTGCCGACCAAAATGTTGGTAGGCAAAATGGTACATTTGGCGACTAAATAATTAGTCGGTAAGCTTTTGACAACCAAAGAGTTTGGTCGCGAATAGGTCTATTGCCGATTAAACTTTTAGTCGCGCAAACATTACTTTTGGCGACTGACATGTTTAGTCGTGGAATGTGTCTTTTGGCGACTAATCTATTGGTCGTGGAATGTGACTTTTGGCGACTGCATGTTTGGTCGTGGAATGTGACAAATGGCGACTAACATGTTTGGTCGGGAATATGTTACTTTTCGCGACTAAAGTGTTTTAGTGACTAAATGGATTAGTTGCAGTAATGATATATTTAGCGACTAAAAATTTAGTTGACAAATCTAACTTTTTCTTGAGTAACAAAAGTTTTGGTCGCTAATTACTTTTGCCGACCCTCAATTGGCGACTAAAGTGGCGATCAAAAAAATTGGTCGCAAATAACTTTCGCCGATTAAACATGGATTTTTGCCGACCAAATTTTTAGTCGGCAAAAGTGCTATTTCCTGTAGTGTGGTTTTGTGAGATGAATTTTGGATCAATGAAAACTCTTTTTGTTTTAATATGGAATAATGCAGCATCTCCATAGTCCCAATTCTTTGCTTGGTTGGTGTAGAAAAGGAGAATTAAGACAATTGAATGTCTGAAAAAAATTGGGATTGTTGTTACAAATGTGGGTGTATTTGTGCTCTATGTAGATCAGGGGAGGAATCACTTAACCACATAATGCTTCACTGTCCTTTTGTTTGGAAAATATGGTTCAGCATCATCAAATGGTGGAGAGTTCAGTGGATTATACCAGGCACACTGGAAAGCTTGCTGCAATGGTAGAATGAGTGGAAGTTTAAAAAAAGGGAATTACAGATATGCAAAGCATTACCTATAGCAATTTTTTGATCTATGTAAAAATACAGAAATAAAGTTACCTTCAATAAAGTACAACCCAATTTTGAAGTCCTTTGCGAACTCATCAAAGTTAGAGTGGCCATGTGGATGAAATCTAATATGGTGGAAAGTTCAATTAATTATTTTGTATCAAATCTACATCAAGTCAGGAAATGCATAAAGTGAAGAGCCCATGTGCTGTTGCTAGTTTTGAAGGCTTTAGTCTGTTGCTGGATTACAGCTGTGGTTATAAATTTGGTCGTTGTACTGTTGCTACTTATTTTTTATTGTGGTTGATAACTGTTGCTGCTTATTTCTGTTGCTGGATATAGATTTGGTTTGTTTCCTTTATCCCTTGTTGTGGTTGGTTTCTCTCCCACCCTTGGCGATTGTACTAGCAAATGATAAATCAATATACTCGGTGCCAATTTAATTGGGATTGCGATTATTTTAGTTTGATACTTTTTACACTCCACTTTCCTTTATTGATGTGATACTATATGTTCGTATTTTTTTCATCAATAAAATTTTTTATTTTTTTTTTTTTTGGCTGATAAAAAAAAAATGTTGAATAATTTGCATCTGAAATAATGTTGCAAACTCGCCGTACCTTTATTCGCTACCAAATAAGACTTGATTTCTCAGTGTGTTCTCTTTTTTTTTTTTTTTTCTTCTTTCTTTTTTTTCTTGAAAAAATAAATAAATAAATAAATTATTGGACCACCAATCCTCTGTGGTCCCTTTGAGATTCCATATCACCCACTGACTTCACTATAATATTTTATTATTATTGAGATGCTCTTTCGATTTCTTTTTTTCACTAACAGCCAAAAGCACCAAATGTTCCACAACAACTAATGCAATTTGTTTATATCCCCTTTACCCTTTTATTACTTGCATAATTATAATGAGATAACTTGAATGTGCCCATTGTATGAAGCACCATATAGATATATGGTGATGTCTTCAAAAAAGCTTAATAAGATAAAAGTAAAGGTAAATTACACATCAAAATATCTTTTCAAAAATAATTTTAAATTAATAACAAAATTTATAAGTATTTAGAATTAAATTTATAAATTTTTTTATTAATCTATAAATATTTTAAATGTCACTGATGTATAATGTTCTCTACAAGTTATTGCACCATGACTATTCAACCTCCATTTATAATTTCCCACTTCCTAATCAGCTCTGTCTGTTTGCAAATAAAAATAAATGAATAAATAAATAAAAGGAAGTAAGTATCATATATATATACATATATATACATATTATTAAAAGTAATGTTTTTTTTATGCCTAGGTGGCACATTATAAGGATTTATTTTTCTAAAAGAGCCACGTTATGACGTATTTTCTTAATTACATATAGAATTCTACACAAACCCAAATCTTATTTAAATTATACTAATTTTACTTATTTTATATGGACTTTATTTGACAAATATTTATTTTCTATATATTTTTCATCATACATTGAGATAATCTTTAAATCCATTACCAATTTTGCGTTTCACATTTTTCTTCTTAATTCTTTCAAAGATATTAGAATTTTTTTTTAATGCTAAATTGGCTTTTTTTTTTCTTATTTTTTCATGCATTATTCTATACCCAATACCAATTCTATACCATAGATTTGTTGTTTAAATTTTATAGTGATTCTTTATACTATGAAATTATACTTCCTTTTATATATTATTTTATATAATCACAACTCACATGAGGAAAAATCTGCACAATAATGATACTCTCGAGAAACTTTTAAAGTTTAGATTTACTGCTTGAGTTACTTTTTTAATTATTGGACAATAAGTTCTTCTATGTTTAGACATCATATTACAGATAATTAATCACTTCATATACTGAGATGTATCTATCGTTTGGATGTTTTCATTATTTTTTTCTTTTTGGGTTTAAATGTTGATATGTGATTCTTTCTTGGTTAGTCGTTGTTAAATTTCTTTTATATAATTGATATTTTTATTTAATTAAAAGTGTTTGTTTTACAATCTTATAATTTAAGATATATATATATATATATATTTATATATCATATAAAATCATTATATGATAATCCAGTTACAACATATTTATATTTAATTTTTTTTAATAAATTTTATATAATTTCTATTTTTACATATTTTTATTTTCTAAATGAATATATATTAAATAGTTAGAATTACTTTTAATTTTATGTTACTAATTCTTCTTGTAATTTAACTATTATTTTTAATATCAAAATTGTGGTGATATAGTTTGGAAATACTCTTTGATCCTGAAGAACGTTCCTGATCCTCTAATTGCCACCTGAAAAGGGATTAACACTCTGGTCGGGGGTGCCGGAATTAGTACTCCGACGGACAAGTCAGTATATGTCTCACGTTTGCTTATGTCTTAAGTTTCTTGGGGTTATCTCTCACATACATTTCTTTGACTGTTGTTCCTCTATTTATAATCGCTTTTGGACCTCAGGGTCGGGCCCACTCTTAATCCATTGTGTAATTGTTCACTCAGCCCCCCTTTTGTCGTATGCCAATTCCCACTCGGCTCCTCGCTCAACTGGTTCTATGGCCGATTAGGATATTCGACATCTGGAATGTACAAGACGGGACCGAATATAATATATATATCCTGATTTTCGAAGTGTATGCTCGGCCTATCTGCATCCCCTGACATTCAGCTCCCACAATTGCCCCCAAACACCCCACTAACACCAGTTAGCCGGCGCGTTTGGTTTCGAACTTGAAAAGTCAAAACAAAAATTCGGCGGTTAACCTCATTCCAACGCGAGTGTCAGAACGCACACACTTTTTTATCATCATTACAATTTCTCACCCCTTCGTACGCTTCCTTCATTTAATGTGATTTAAAACTTTGTCCCTTCGAATGTATGTTTTTGAATACTCAAAGTTTCTGGTTCGCCTTCTAGTATAACACCTTCATTTCGCGACCTCTGCAACTTCCTCCCGTTTCTCATTGTCTTCTCTGCTTCTTGTAAGTTCTCTTTTTCCCCATTTTGAATCTCATTTCCTTGTTTGTTTTTAGTTTAGCATATTCCTTAAACTGGCTAGGATGGCCAAACACTTGAAAGCCCTCCTTTCTATGGATCGAGTCACTGATTTTCGACGTCATTTTGCTATTTCCGACGACATCCACCTATCACTTGTGGCAGAAAGCACACTTGATATGGAGAGGACTGATGAGAGTACAATCATCTTTCCTCTCCTATCAGAAGGCGGAGTCTGTTTCCCCCTTCACGCATTTCTTAGGGCTGTCCTTCGCCATGGGGTCTAATCCCTTCCCAACATAATGTAAATTTTTTACTGCATCATAATGGGAATTGTAGAGTTGAACCGACATTTTAGGATCAATCTCAGCATCCCTGCTATTTGGCATTGTTATGCCTTGGCCAAGTCTTCTGGCCGACAGGGCCGCTACTTTCTCAAGGCTAAGGACACCGACCATCATTTGGTGACTATGCTTGCCAGCTCTGGCAAGCAAGTTGACGATGTCATGGTCGTTGTCCAAGGCAACTGGGAATTCGGCGAGGGCGAAGATCGCCTAGATCCCGTACCTAGATGAAAAGGCAAACCAGGTGGCCGTATGGTTTGATACATGCATTTGCTATATATTTACTTGGCTCTCCTTTCATGAACTTACCGCTTTGTGTATGCAGGAAATGATTTGAAGAAAGTTCTTGTTTCAGCCAACGACACCGTGCTTGCGGAAATCAAAACCACACTCCAATTCTTCAGCCGTCCAAACCTCTAGAAGCAAGGGAGGGCGGCTCATATGCTTCTTTGATACGGGCCGACTTACACAACCTTTTCAGCTGCAGACAATATTCCGATTCCGAGGGGCGAACAGCAGCTCCCGGCTCTCATTTTCCCCAATTTCAAAAACCTCAGGCAGATTGGTTTGGAAGCTTCTGACTCGATGTAGGCGGAAGAACAAGTAGCCAAGGAAGTCGGCGAACAACCTAATCATTCCACTTTGGAAGCCGAAGTTGACGAGGCTCTGAACTTGGCTTTTGAGGAAGCCAACCTTAATCAATTCGACCCTTCATCTACTTCAGGCTGTGGGGACACCTCATTCGAAGACATTTTTACCGACTTAAGGGACCTTCCCAGGGCGTATACTAAGAACATGGCTGGGGAGTCTCTAATGCAGTTGGCCAGGAGCAAAAATGCCGAACGCATGGCCGCCCGGAGGAGGGTTGAGACTAACCGATCTGAACCTCCCCCTATTGTCGTGGCTGAGTCTTCTCCACCAGATACTGAGGCGGAGCAGGTCAAAACGGCTTAGGTTGAAATGGCTCAGATGGAGCAAGTTGAACAGTTGGATCAAGAGGTCGAGCAGACGAGGGAAAAACGTCCCGCCGAGCACGAAGCCGACCCTGAGGAAACACCTACTGATAAACGGCCACATTTGGAGGAGTCGGACTCAGTCGTGCCGTTCATCGTCCAACCAAGGATAAAGAACGTGCCGATTGTGTCCGACGCGTCGGCCCTGAAAGATCTGGTTGTGACCTTGAGTATGACTTCCTCAATTTCCCTGTCGGTTGATAGGGCGACTTTTCGTGCGGAGCCAGATCTGCTACCAATAGCATTAGCCGCTCAATCGACCATATTGGTGCGTGACTTAACCTTATTTTCAGTCTTCCGCCTATATGCATATAAACATATATTATTAATTAAAAATTCTAACTCCTTGTTTTGCAGACGGTGGGCAGGATTGTCGAGATCGGTCGCCGACAACATGATGCTATTGAGCAGATTGGCTTTTTGAAAACCAAAATTGAAAACGAGAATAGCAAGGATGTGGAGGCCTCTCAAAGAGCCGAGTCCGAGGCGGCGAGGGCAGCGGATAAGCGCGCAAGAGCTGACACCAAAGCCAAAAAGGTGAAGAGTTCTGACCAGCTTAGATTGGCCACCGACGATAGGGCAAACGCGAGTGAAGACGCGCTCAAGTTAGCCAATGAGGTGATTGCCAAACTGGAAGCCAACTTGGAAGAATCGAAGAAGGCGAAGGAAATAGCCGACTCCGAGATTTCCAAAGCGTTCTAAGCTGGGAACGATGCCGCTTTGAAGAACTATGTAGAAGAAGTCCCCAAATTTGAGAATTAGGGCTTCAAACACGGTTTGCTCAAAGCCCTCACTGCCGCTAATGTGACATTGGCCCAGCCGATTCCATACGAGCAGGTGGACGTTAAGCCGCTGGAGTGTGACCCTGAAAATTGACTAGGGTGACTTTGATTTTTGTTAGGCACCTTCCATGCATTGTTCTTGTAAATTTTTGTTAGTAGATTTCTGTTAATTTAAGGTAATTTTCATGTATGAAATGGCTACTATCTGTACTTAATTTATTTATGAAAATTTCCTTTGCTTTTCACTATTATCTATACTCAATTTTTGTTATTAATGAAGATTTTGATTTTCACTACTTTGGGGAAAATGACTACTGTCTGTTGCGCGTGCTAGATATCGATTCAATAGGATGTAGGATCATGAGATGAGTAAATTAAACATCCCACTAAATAGCTGCCAATTAGATAACTACGTGTCTTGGCAATTTAGCCGTCTTTCAATTTTAGCCGAATGAATTCATGAATATGCCCTTGAACATTAATCAACTGGAACGCCGAATATCAGTGGCTCATGGAATGGCTGGGGTAGATGAACCTATCAGTGCAAGCCTTGACATTTGGCCGATTAGATTAGCGAATCCTTAGCCCCTAATATTAACGAATTTGCCCTTGCCCTGTTAAGGAATGAACTAGAACGCCGAACATCTGTTGCTCATGGAATGGCTCGAGCAAATGAACCTATCGGCACAAGGCCTTAACATTTGGCTCATTTGGTTAGCGAATCCTTAGCCGCTAAGATTAACGAATCTGCCCTTGCCCCAGTTAGTGAGCTGGAACACCGAATATCAGTGGCTGATGGAATGGCTGGGGTACATGATCCTATCGACGCAAGGCCTTGACATTTGGCCGATTAGGTTAACAAATCCTTAGCCGCTAAGATCAACGAAACTACCCTTGCCCCAGTTAGTGAGCTGGAATGCCAAATATCGATGGCTCATGGAATTCAAGCATTGATGAGATCACCTCGGGAGTGCAGCCCCCGTAATCAATAAATGGGGCGGGCCTACATGCGCGAAGGTGCCATTATTGCGTTCAAATCCAACAAATTGGGAGAAGAAAAAAGAAGTGTGGGCAACTGTAGATGGCAAGAAGATTGTTCTTCAACAGCAGAGGGGATAGTAGGACACTCACAGAGCTGGACGTAGAGATGAACCGGGGTGGCGAGCCTATGGGCACGGTGAGTAGGACGTCGAGGAAGCGTGAGAAACGCCAATCCCCACGTCACCGAAGTAGGTCACCCAGAAGGGAAAAACAGCAACGAGGTAACTCCCCTCGCTTAAGAGGTGAAAACAGTACGACACCGCGCCCGTTGAGCTTTTCGGTGTTCGTTAGGAACAAACCAATGACGGAGGTGGATTCCATCATCTGCGACCCAAATGTAGCAGTCGAGTTTGCGCGACAGATTTTTTCTCTAGAAGTTCAGCGGTCCATAGTCAGCCAAGCAGATTACGAAGTCTTCCGGGAGGGCGTTCATGGAGCAGTAAACGGTCTGTACACCTCCTATGAAATCGGCATGTGTCTACGTGCCGCACGAAGAGAGATAGAGCAAAGGGATACCCGCATTCAGAGCTCGCAAGCCCGCACGGAGAAGGCCGAAAATGAGTTGAAGAGAACTAGCACCTTTGAGACTCATTCGGCGGGTCAAGTGAATCCGATTGTCACAAAGCGAGTAAATCGCTAAATCTTGGATCACGCGATCGTCGACCGAGATACGGCTAGCGTGTTCGCAATTGAATCAGCAAAGGCTAGGTCCTACGAAAAAGTCTTTCATGACGGTCGAAAAATCGAAATAGAAAAGACCAAGGAAAAACTAGCCGATGAGGTCTATCGATGCGAAAATCGCGGATTTAAGCATGGATGAACCAAGGCACTCCAGGTCGCGAGCGTTGATCTGGCATCACCCTTATATCAGAGTTATACTTTTTCGTTCGAGGCTTTCAAAGTCGAGAAGACCAATGACGAGGGCAGCGCCGAATAATTTTGATGTATTATTATATATATTAGGTTTTTTTTTTGTTAATGTAAAATATGCACTTCTGATCTATTGAATAAAACGCATTATTCTGGATGTCGATATGTTATTTCGATCATTGCTTGCAGATTAAGTTGTCTACTACTTCATGATCACATCCACGAAGGGCGTTCCGAATTCGGAGACTTATTCGGCCTAAACGTGTCATTCACGTAGGGCGCTCCGGATTCGGAGGCTCCTTGTGTTGGCCCGAACGTCATTCGTGAAGGGGCTCCGAATTCAGAAGCTTATTCGGCCCAAACGTGTCATCCACGTAGGGCGCTCCGAATGCGTAAACTTATTCGACCCAAACATGTTATTCACGAAAGGCGCTCCGAATTTGGAGGCTTTTTTGTGTTGGCCCAAATGTCATTTACGAAGGGTGCTCCGAATTCGGAGGCTTATTTGGCCCAAAGGTGTCATTCACGTAGGGTGCTCCAATTGCAGAGACTTATTCGGCCCAAACGTGTTATTCACGAAGGATGCTCTAACTTCAGAGGCTTCTTTGTGTTGGCCCAAACGTCATTCACGAAGGGCGCTCCGAATTCAGAGGCTTATTCAGCCCAAACATGTCATTTACGTAGGGCGCTCCGAATGCGAAGACTTATTCGACCCAAACGTGTTATTCACGAAGGGCACTCCAAATTCGGAGGCTTCTTTGTGTTAGCCCAAATGTCATTCGCGAAGGGCACTCCAAATTTGAAGGCTTATTCAGTCCAAACGTGTCATTCACGAAAGGCGCTCCGAATGCAGAGACTTATTCGGCCCAAACGTGTTATTCACGAAGGGCACTCCGAATTTGGAGGCTTCTTTGTGTTGGCCCAAACGTCATTCGCAAAGGGCGCTCCGAATTCGGAGACTTATTCGGCTCAAACGTGTTATTCACGGAGGCTTTTGAAACCACCTTAAATCAACAACCACAACTCACTGGCAAGAGAACATTGCATTGAAAAATGAAAGATATACACGAAGTAAAATCAAAACAAGCTGTCGTGCCGTACAAGCTGACTTAATGATAAAATTTGCTCAAGTGTGTGGAATTCCATGGTCGTAGCAAGCTTCTTACATCTATGTCTTTGAGCCGATATTCCCCTATCCCTGCAATTGAGTCAATCTAATAGGGACCGTCCCAGTTAGGACTCAATTTTCCGTCAGCTGGATTCCTAGCAGCAAGAAGCACTTTCTTGAGGACCAATTATCCTAGTGTATAACAGCGCAGCTGAATACGTTGATTATACGACTTAGCGAACTGTTGCTGGTACCGTGCCATGGATGCAAGGGCACGGTCTCAGCGTTCTTCAATCAGAGTCAAGTCTAGGGCCAACATCATGTCATTTCGGCCCATATCAAAAACTTTTCATTTCAAGGTTAGGAAGCCGATTTCTAGGGAGATGATTGCCTGAGTTCCAAAGCATAGAGTAAACGACGTTTCTCCAATGAATCGCCTCAGAGTAGTGCGATGAGCCCACAACACACTGGGCAACTCTTCGACCCATCTGCCTTTAGCTTTCTCCAACCTTTTCATGATGCCGTCCAAAATAACCTTGTTGGTGGCCTCCGCTTGACCATTGCTATGGGGGTAAGCCGACGAGGAAAAGTAGAGCCGGATACCATAAGTGTCGCACAATTCTCGATACACGCCACAATCAAACTGGGTACCATTGTTAGAAACAAGTGCTCGTGGTATGCCAAATCTTGTTATGATGTTTTTCCATACAAAACGCTTAACGTCGAAATCTTGAAATATGTGTTAATGTCTCCGCTTCGACCCATTTTGTGAAATAATCCGTCGCAACAATTAGGAATCGCTTGTTGCCCGGGGCCCGTGGTAACGGTCCAACGATATCAAGGCCCCACTGAGCGAACGACCAAGGGCTAGTCATAGAATTTAACTCCTCGGCTTGCAGGTAAGTTAAAAGGGAAAACTTCTGGCATTGACCACATTTCTTGACATAACACTCGGCGTCGGTTCGCATGGTCAGCCAATAGTACCCTTGCAATACGGCGTGGTAAGCCAGAGAACGTCCGCCTGAATGGGCTCCACAACTGCCTTCACGTATTTTAGATAAAAGTTCCTCGACTTTATTTGGGTAAACACACTCTAAGTACGGCCCGGAGAGAGATTTTTTGTAGAGCTTCCTCTGCGAATCCAAATAGTATCGGAGGGCTTTGTTTTGGAGTTTGTGTGCTTCTTTCTTATCCATCGGGAGCTGTTCTGAAGATAGGAATGCGGCGATAGGGTCCATCCAACTCAGACCTGGTTCGATAACGTTGACCTGAACTGGTTCTGAAGAGGCAATGCTCAGCTCGAGGACAAACCCTACTTCAATTGTCTGCTTAATTTCTGAGTTGATAGTAGATGCTACACAAGCCAGGACATCTGCATGCGTGTTCTGATCCCGGGTTATTTGATTCAGTTCGTGGTGATCGAATTTCGCGAGCAAAGAATTCGCCATTTTCATATAGGCTACCATGCGGTCATTTTTTGTTTCTCATTCCCCTTTCAACTGGTTGATTACTAGCATTGAGTCACAGAAAACAAGCAGACGCCGCGCACTGAGGTGAAGTGCATTTCGCAAGTCAGTTTACAATACTTCATATTCAGCCTCATTGTTTGATGCGTCGAATCCCAATTTGATGGCCCGTTCGATAATTGCCCCTTCAAGGGTCATGATT